GAGGAACAACAACCATCATCACTATTATTACTTTTTTGTTTCCTTTATTCCACGTAATGCTTTGGCAACAGCTGTTAACTACAATTCATGCCAGCAAGGCTAATAGAATTTGAAGAAGAGAGAGAGAGACAGAGAGAGAGAGAGAGAGAGAGAGAGAGAGAGAGAGAGAAGACAAAGAGATTGCACTTTTTTGTGTGTGTGTGTATGTGTGTGTGAGATCTCACCACAAAACAGAAGAAGAAGCTGATTTTGGCCACAGCACTGATACTAAGTTTTCCCATAAGCCTGAGTGAGGTGGCAGCATGAGACATGCGAGACAGTTTGGCTTCTAAAGCCTGAGAGTGAGGAAGTTCACGTACTTCCATCATATTACTGAACCTCACACGCTGCTTCCGCGTCGCTACACACACCATCATAACACCATATACACAAAAAACACCCAAGGGAGGAAAAGGAGAAAATATAATAGTCAGTTTTAAGACTTTCATATATATATATATATATATATATATATATATATATATATATATGCACACACACATACATACATACATATATAAATTAATTACATAACCAGGTTACATACACTATATGCCAAAAGTTTGTGAACACCTGACCATCACACTCATGTGCATTATGAACATCCCATTCCAGATTTAGACCCCCTTTGCTGTTAAATAACCTCCACTCTCCCGTGAAGGATTTCCACTTGATTTTGGAGTGTGGCTGTGGGGATTTGTCCATTTAGCCACAAGAGCATTAGTGAGGTCAGGCACTGATGTCGAGTGAGAAGGCCCTGGGGCACAGTTGGAGTTCCAGTTCATCCCAAAGGTATTCAGTGTGGATATGATGGTCAGGTGTCCACTTACTTTTAGCCATATAGTGTATATGCTGAGAACTGTTAATATATTGTAAATTAAATCACTAATAATAATAATAATATTATTAAATATTTAATATAAGGGCTGAATATACTATATAAGGCAACAATATATCACTGACTTCACTGTATGAAATCTGTCTGTGTTTTATAAAGTTTTTGCAGAAATACTTACGAGTCTTAGACTCTCGACTGACACTGTTATCAGGAACATCCTGAAACTTCACCGGCACATACAGAGGCTCACTCTAGAGAGCAATGGCACACAGTTATTACACAAGCTACACAACTTGCACATGCCAACTTCACTTTTTCTTTCTTTCTTTCTTTCTTTCTTTTTTTCACTTTTTCTTTCTGCTTTGATTCTGTATGTTCTCTGAACTGGATATGTTCTAACAATAGACATGCATAAGTAAAGGGTATAAAAGGCAGGGACTAAAGGATATAGAAGGCTACACAAGAACAAAGTCCTATTACTGTGTTTAAAATTGCTGCTGCTGAGATAAATACTCTATTAATCATATTTTTTTAAAGGGTTTTAAAATGTAACATTTTAAACTGGCTACATATTGTCTCATACACCTAACGTCAACTAAATTTCTTATAAATCAGAAATTGCCTGACTTCTTACCCATGCCAATGCTTATATAAAACAGTCCGGATATGCAGGTTTAAGTGCGTTCTCTCAGTAGACATGGGGCTGGCAGTGGGAGAGCCCAGCGACACAACAGTGTAGGGCTCTGAGAGTGTTAAAAGGCATTTGAATTACAGCACTGAGTGAGTGTGTATTGTTTCAAGGGTATATACTCACTAGGGAATTATTAAAGCTGTTTTCAGTGCCACCAGCAGTCACATGTGAATCAGCATCAGAAATCTGAAAATGACATTAAACCCGATCAGTCTAGCAATTTCAACATTCATTTACATTTACATACACTGCCATGCTGTGCCACAAATTCCAAGACCCATGAGGATGGACATGACAGTCTTGTGGCTGACTGTATCAAACGCTGCTGAAAAGTTGAGGAGGATGAGGACTGATGACTGTTTGGCTGATCTAGTGGATCTAGTTTCTGTGGAATGTGCCGCTTTGAAGCCAGACTGGTTAGAATCTTGGAGGTGAGATAGAGGGACAGTTGACTGTAGACTGTGCGTTTGAGGATTTTTAGAAAGAAAAGAGAGAAGTGATACCGGTCGGTAGTTGCTGATGTCGGAGGGACCAGAGTGGGTTTCTTCAGGATGGGAATAACCCTTGCTGTCTTGAATGCAGCTGGTACATGAGCAGATGATAAGGAGTCATTAATGATAGTAGTGATGAAAGGGAAGAGGTCTTGTGAGATGGTCTGGAGTATTGTGGAATGGATGGGACCCAATGGGCAGGTGGTGGAATTGCAGGGCAAGATGACTTGCAGGGTCTCTTTTGTTGATAGAGATAGAGAAAAGAGAAAAATGTGTCAAAGAAAGTAAAGGGGAATCCTGAATTGGACAGGAATCAGGAATCCTGTAGTGTAGGAGTCGAGGTAGGAGTGAAGGTCTGGCAGATTTTTTTCAATCTACCCATCAAAAAAAGGTGGCAAATTCATCAGCAGTCAGGGAGGACAAAGAAGAAGGAGCTGGAAGGTTAAGAAGTGAAGAAAAGATGTTGTAGAGCTTGTGAGGATCTTGTGCAGAAGCTTCCGGCTTTTCCTTGTAGAAGACGCTCTTAGCAGAAGTCACATCAGATGAGAATTTGGACAGGAGAGCGTGGGATGAGACCAGATCCTTATCGAGTTGTGATTTCCTCCACTTTCTCTCTGCTGCTCTTAATTGTCTCAGATTGCTACGCAACACATCCGATAACCAAGGGACAGGGCAAGAAAGCTTCCTGGGTTTAGAAGATAGAGGGCGGAGGAGGTCCATGGATAAGGAAAGTGAAGAGAATAAAGTGGTGGTGGCATTCAAACATCATTTCATAGACTAACAATGTAGAGTGCATTAAAAAGAGCAATAAGTTGTATGAATTCATTAGTTTGTAAAATATACATATCTAATTCACTGATAATCCCAAAAAGAAAGCAGCTTACTATTGGGTATGAATGTGAGGACTGGCTGAGAGCCACGGCTGGACGTTAGAGCAACACCCTTAACCCTTAACTGCTCAGCTCTGTCCGTGAATTTGTTCTGTCTCCTTATTAATCCCTTTGACTAAAAGTGTCTCTTAAATAATAAATATATTGCACGATTCACCAATCATCATTATAAAATCTGAACCTAACTCTTTATTGCAATAATGTTAGTACCTACAGTAGCACTTACATAATTGACCCTTTTTACTTACTAATGGGACTACTCCAGCATTAACCTCTAGTCTACTAGGTTCCGTCAGCTCTTTGTACATTTTGAAAGTCAGTTTAGATTAGAGAGTTTGCCATATGACTAAATGTAAATGTTAATCATTTTAGAAATTCATATCCACATACCTCATTTACAAGATATGCTAAGCTCAGCATTGTATTCATTGTTAACATCTGCTAACTGCAAGGCAAATTGCAATAAGATATCGCCTTGCTGTAAGGTGTAAAGCTGTTGAAAGCCACATGGAGACAGCTGCAGAACTCACAGATATGCCACGTTGCTGTTGGGCTGCACACTGCTGTCTCCACGGTTTCCAGAACAGGAAGCCCAGCAGGTACAGTATGAACATGGAGGTCTTCACAAACGTGCTGAAAAAGGGCTTGCTGTACTGCTGCTGCACAAACACATACTGACATACACACAAATGCAAACACCTCAGTGACACCTAAATATATTTACCATACTGTAGTCTCACACAAAACATTAAAAATGGAGAGTGGCAACTAAAGAAATAAAACATGATATGCTGTTATAGGAAAATAATCAACAACAGGATGGTGTGATGTGCCCCAAAGTTGATTATTTTCCTATAACAGCATGTTGTGTCATGTTTTTTTTTAAAATTTATTGTGCAAAGTCCTCTGTCCTGAAGACCTTCCCATGTCGGAAAACGTACTGTAACAGCTTTCATATCAATTATTACACTCTTTATGTGCAATGTCCCCAACACAAGTCCCTGTGTAAGTTGTTACTATAGAAACAATAACATATTAGACCAAGCTGCCGGTATAGAAAATTAATCAATACCTTCAGAATGATGCATTGAACAGTGCTGTGGGATTATATTCCATAACAGTCTAGTAAAATGTTGAAAGTGTGGTACATTGTAGTTATGTCTGTGAAACCGTATTATACTCCGAGTTTGTGGGAAAACAAGCACAGTATGTTTTACGTTTGTGTGTGTTGTACTTACTACAGTGAGTTCGGATGAAGCGACCCAGATTACGTCCACAAGCAACAGGACAATGACACCCAGCACCAACCTCCTCTTCTGGGCACCGCATAGTCCCCAACTCATCCTATACACTCACAAACACAATGAAGCCTTACCATATGGGTTACTTGTATATGTTATGCTGTGAACGAGAGATGCACAAACTAAAAATGAACAGCAGTGGTGGAGTGAAGGACCTTACCGTGCTGGGCGCATTAGAATTGGACACGCCTGTCTCTGCCAGCCTCTCTCTCCACGATGCAACACCAAGAGCACATCACACAGTCGCTACATGCAGTCTACACAGGTGATTAGATGATACAAGAGCATATAGAAATCAGGGGTGTGTTAAAAAAGGACTGAAATTGAATAAGGTCCTGAAATTCATGGAATACCCCTGACAGAAGTGAATCGCAATTTAATCTGCTTTGCAGTTATTCCTTTGGTGCTATAATTTTTTTAACAATTTGGGCAGCATTGCATCATCTCAAATGAACAGCAAAAAACAAACAAACAAACAAAAACAAATCTGGACCCCTATAGGACCTGCTAGACTTTCTCTACTGGTGCGTATAATGCAGGTCCAGCTGCTAAGCAATTAATAAGCAAAAGCTAAGCATAACCAGAGGATCCACAATTTTTCGTCTTTTGGTGTTACAGTGTCGGACATCTTGATCAAAAAGTATTGAAGCTGCAACAGTTATAATTACATACAGTTCCATAAGTCCATAAACATTTGGACATTGACAAAGTTATTGTTATTTTAGCTCTCTACCACAGTATATTAGCGGGACCCAGGAAGACTAGTGGTTAGGCCACAGCGCTTTCACCGCTGCAGCCCAGTTTCGATTCCTGGCCAGGGAACCAATCCCAGCCACTGGGGTTACGTGCAACAGTGCGCTCTCAGTGCCGGTCCCAAGCCTGGATAAAATTGGGGAGGGTTGCGTCAGGAAGGGCATCCAGCGTAAAAACTGTGCCAAATCAAATACGCAGACCAATGATCTGCTGTGGCGACCCTTAATGAGAGCAGCCAATAGAGGAACAACAACCACAGCATATTGAAGTTGACAATAAATCAACTCCATCCAAATCAGGTAAATAGTGTAGGAATTTCAATATTTATATGTCCCAAACCCATGACAATTTAACATGATCGTAAACTAAATTTTCATTTGTACTACTTGGATGAAAATCCTTTACAGTCAATGTCTGTGTGAATTCTGGCACCCATAGATATCACCAGACGCTGGGTTTCTTCCGTGATGATGCTCTGCCAGGCCTTTACTGCAGCTGTCTTCAGTTCCTGCTTGTTCTTATGACGGTTTGCCTTCAGTTTTGTCTTCAGCAAGTGAAATGCATACTCAACTGGATTCAAGTGAGGTGACTGACTTGGACATTGCAGAACATTCCATTTCTTTGCCTTAAAAACGTTTTGGGTTGCTTTCAAAGTACGCTTCGGGTCATTGTCCATCTGCACTGTTGAAGCATTTGGCTGAATCTGAGCAGCTAATATAGCCCTATACACTTCAGAATTCATCCTGCTGCTTTTGTCAGCAGTCACATCTTCAATAAACAAGGGAACCGGTTCCATTGGCAGCCACACACGCCCACACCATAAGATGAAGTGATATGCTTCAGATCATGAGCAGTTCCTTCCCTTCTCCCTTCTCCGTGTTCCAGAGCTGTATAGACTTTTTTTTTTTAAAGATGTTTTTGGCATCTAACCTGATCTTCCTGTTTTTAAGGCTTATCAATGGTTTACACAAATACACCTCCCACTGTATTTACTCTGGTGAAGTCTTTTCTTGATTGTTGACTTTGACACAGATACGCATACCTCCTGGAGGGTGTTCTAGATCTGGTCAAATGTTGTGAAGTGTTTTTTTTTTCACCAGGGAAAGAATTCTTCTTTCATTCAGCACAGATGTTTTCGGTGGTCTTCCAGGCCTTTTGGTGTTCCTCAGCTCACCAGTGCCTTCTCTCTTTTTAAGAATGTACCAAATAGTTAATTTGGCCATATTAAGACTTAACAGCAACAGACTCCAAATACAAATGGCACACTTGACATCAACTCTAGACCTTTTATCTGTTAACAGTAAGTGAAATAATGAAGGAATAACACATACCTGGCCAAGGAACAGCTGAGCAGCCAATTGTCCAATTACTTGTTGTCCCTCAAAAGGGGGACTTTTTAAGGACTATACAAAGTGGTGTAATTCCTACACTGTTCACCTGATTTGGATGCAAATACCATCAAATTAAAGCAGAAAGTCTACAGTCTACAAATTCCATCCATCCATTTTTCTATACCGCTTGTCCTACACAGGGTCGCGAGGGAGCCTGGAGCCTATCCCAGGGACTCGGGGCACAAGCCGGGGGGACACTCTGGAAGGGGTGACAACCCATCGCAGGACACAATCGCACACACTCACACACCCATTCACATCCTACGGACAATTTGAAAATGAAAGCCTACAAATTATTTAATGTTAAATATTAAATGTTATATTATTTAAATAACAACTCCATTACATACTGTAGTAGATGGCTAGGATAACAATAATTTGATTGTATATGATATACAGAAAGGTCCATAAATATGTCCACATGTTTACAGACCTGACTGTATAGTTATACTCCGAACTGAATGGGTTTAATCCGAAACTCCAGGACTTAATAACAAACATAAATAATGTTTCCTTGAATCTAACTGCAGTTTAAGTAAAAATAGGAAAATATGCTACAACACACTGGTTTGTATTCTAAAAGCTTGTGCCTCAAACAAACAAACAAACAAACAAACAAACAAACATGCTGTGACATATTTGCCTAATGTTGCTTAATATTTGAGGAGTAAAATAGTTGAGTTATGTTCATAAAATAAACCTGTGCTTAATTTTTTTCCCCACACTGGTACCTGTCTGATAAACGTCTCAAAACAGCAGTAAATTAAGAAATTAAGCAATGTTAATGACTTTGCAAAGTGAACATAATTAGCAGTAACATTGCTTAATTTAGTATATAATGAAAGCTGCATTTTCAAAGGTGTAATTAGAAAAAACTAAATGAACCCCAAATCACATATAGCTTTATCCAATTTGGTTTCATATCACTGCTCTATCCTGAATATAATATTGTGTAAAATGAACGCATATTGATAACAGTGCAGTTAATGCTGGTTTAGTCTTACTAGCACATGGCTATGGTGCTGCTTCACTACAAACAGCAACATGCTTTAAACAGCAACTAAACGTGCAGGCACAGGAGCCTCGCCGAGCTACAGCTAATTCAGCTACTATTCTTCAGCCCAAATAAGCTAAAAAATAAAAACACATTCATTAAACCAAACCTTGTTTGGCCATATTACCTGCTTCTGAATTCTTCGTCTTCATGAACTGTAGCAGAATAAATATCTTCTGTCAGTTAGAAAAGATAACAGCTCAACTGGTGCTGTAAATATTTACATGACTTTTAGGTAGTCTGCTGCTGCTCATGACTTCACTTACCTCTTTCGGCATTGAACTTCAAATATTATGGGATTTGTAGTTTCAATACCCGTAGACTTCAATTACCGTGTATACTAATGGCAGCCGTAGAAAACTACATTTCCGAGAATGCATCTAAACGAAGTCTTTCAGTCGTTTTCATTTATTTATTTATTTATTTATTTATTTATTTATTACTTCTTTAACTACCGCTTTAGCGAAAGGAATACGTGTAATGTTATAAACTATTTTCCACTATCTAGTTATTATAATAGTTCACTGTGCCACAGCACTGACAAACTAAATCACTGATCTCCAGTTCAGTGTTTCCGGGTGTTTCCATGATCTATATCTGTACTGGTCCTGCACAAAAAAACAAAACAAAACAAAACAAAAAAACACTGCAGTTGTCTTAATTACACATATGCTGCTAAATAGTGATGCTGATCATTTCCATGCAGGCATTTCCTTCAAACATATTTTAAGATAAACAAAGCAATGCGTTGTCTTAAAATATTACACACACACACACACATATGTTAACATACTAACAATAGTAAAGATAAAGAAATAGTAAAATCCTGGTAATATCAATCAATATTGTCACCAAAAATTATCATAGTAATGTTTTGAGCTAAAACGATAGTAAACTCTAAAGGTTTACCTAAACCTGCTAACCACACACTTCTTCCCTTCTTCTCCCTCCTTTTTCTTTTTCTTTTTCTTTTCTTTTATTCATTTTCTCCTTTTTTCTTTTCGTTTCTTCTCGTTTCCTTTTCTTTTCTAATATCCATTTATTTCTTGACCTATTTATATATATTAGGTTCTTTCCATAAATTATAATAACAACCCCCTCACCCCTCCTCCTCCCCC